TTTTTTTTTTTTGTTTTTTTTTTTTTTTTTTTTTTTTTTTTTTTTTTTTTTTTTTTTTTTTGTAATGATCACAGGCCGGTGGAGGACAGGAGGGGCTGGAGTTTCCTTTTGTAGAGGTACCCTTCACTTGAAGAAGCAGGAAGAAAAAAAAAGCCCTGATGGCAATTTAAGAAACAATAGACTCAACTCGCGCTGCCGGCTTTGCTACTTCAAGTGTCATTTTCCACAACCAGGCAAGTTTTTTCCTCTCTCTCTCTTTTTTTTCCTCCTTCTCTCCCAACCAAAGATGTTTCTTTCCTTTCAGTGCGTTTAGATGAGGACGCTGGTTGCCGTAGACAGATACACCAGAGAGGGAGAGTGGGGTGGGGGGAAGGGGGGAGAGAGAGGGAAAGAGGAAGGGGGGCAGGGAAAGACAGAGAGAGAAAGAGAAAGAGAGAGAGGAGAGGGAGAAAGAGAGAGGGGTGGACCCTGCTGGATGGAGATTCTGTTTTCTCCTTGCTAAAATAGAAGTGATTTGCAGGCTTTCCCTATGGAATCCAGTTTGACTCTCCCCAGAGCTAAACACAGGCACACTAACCCCAAAGGGAGGAGGCGGGGCTCGCGCCTCACGGCCCCGCCCCTTCATTTGCATAACGCCATCCTTCCGCCAAGCTGCAGCCAATCGCGGCTTAAGAAGCCTTCTGGCTCGCCGCGCTGGGCCACGCTCCCTCATTAACATCCCTCTCCGGGTGGCGCAGGGGAGCTAGCCAAAGTTCCTCGCAAAGTGGCGAGCGAAGGATCGCTGAGCACCAGCGTCTGTGCTGGGAAGGAGCTGGGCACAGCTGGGCAGAGCCGGGCTGGAGAGGGGAAACAGACGGAAGGGAAGGGCGATATTTTTCTCAGGGATTTGAACTGGGGTCTGCATCCTGGTCGTTGCGGTCCTTTTAGCATCCTCGCCACGCCCTGAGCGCGCTCGCGGTTCACAGGCTGCGCCCTCCCAGGGCCGATGCTGCGTCCTGCTCCGCTGTTCTGGGACGTCGGGGGCAAAAGTGGAGGAGACGGGAGAGCCCGGGCAGAAAAAGCAGGAAGCGCGTCCCAGGTGCCCACCTCTTCGCTTTGAGGAGGGGGTGGTGGGGTGGAAAAATGGGTGCTCGAGGTCGGGGCGGGAGATCGCGGAGGGCACTTTTCTCCACGCTGGGAGAAGTGGGTGGACCCTGGGTCTCGGTTAGTGAGGCTCTGTGGGTCCCTCATGGAGTAGGGGGACCCGGACTCTGTCCGTTGTCTGGCCTCTGAAATGGTTCTCGTTCTGATGCTAGCTTCGAGGCCGCGGGTGTTAAGGCACCGTCCCCATAAGCTCACTTATGTCGAGTAATCCGCGGGATGTGTAAACGGTGGAATGAATGCTCTCACTAGAGTTGTATCAGGATGCATTCTAAAATTTACTCAGATTCATTTCCCAACCCCTTACCCTCGCCCCAAAGTATTTTTTTTTCTTTAGTGTATTTACCAGAGCAACAACGTCTCTGATTGATTGGTTATTTCATGTAGGATTTCTGTCTTCCTCATTCTTTCAGTTTAAACGGGGGCCTTGAACAAACCCACCCCAACTTCTGCCCCTGCCAGTTGTCCAGAAAGTGAGAGATTGAGTTAAAAAGGAGGGGACTGGGGGGGGGGGGAAGGCTAGGAGAGAGGGAGGGAGAAATGGTCTACTACCTCAGACCTTTCTGTATATATGCATGTAAGTGGCAAAGAAAATAGCTAGAAGTTTCCGGGTAATGTGCCCCATCATTTTTAGCAGGTCGTAACCTCTAATAAGCACATGGTGAACTTCTGTTTCATTGCCCTCAGAGGAACTCCCTGACTGCAGCCAAATCTGCTAAGGACTCCTTGGGGGGGAGTTTTCTGCCAGAAATCCAGGTCCCCTTTCTGCTGGCCTTCCTTGGCCCTTTGATTTAGGAAGCTCATGGGGTCAGTGACGGAACAGTACACACGCCCATGTTGAATGGATGGAGACAGGCAAAAATTACGCTTTGTGCTCTTGGCAGAGCAGGAAAGTGAAAACCACTTCCCAGTTCCTAAACCAGAAAAAAAGGACTGTGTTTCAGGTCCGTGAGTACACGGCCACTATCCTCAAACACTACTTTATCTTTGTGCACAAAGCGTGCCCTGCTCCCATACCATTTAATCTGGACCACTAATGTGCTGAGAGCACTTTGTCTCTGGCAAAAATTAATAATTAATTCAGTCTCCACCAAGACACTCCTGAAGACATGTGTCTGGTCCATCAGGATCTACGTAACATCTACCAGAGTTCCTGACACACAGCACATGTTCAGGATGGTTATGTTGGTGGAGAGACTGAAAGGGTTATAACTTTGTGGGCAGGGGAAAGGAGGAGGGGACTTTCTCCATCTCTACAGAATTGAAACGCACAATTAAAACTGGGCCTGCTGAAAACTTCCCAAAGATCCAAGCTTAACCTCCAAAGTCCAATGAGTCCCCCAGAGCCAATCCCTTCCCCTGCCTGGACTATCCCCTGCCTTCTCTGAGGGTATCCTTCAAGGAAGGGGAACCAGGAAACAGAGGCCACCCTTCTATCAATGAGTTCCAGATAGCCAGAGCGAAAGACTCAAGCTTCCCTCTCCTTAATTGCCTGAACCTCCACTTTTACTCTCCAGTGAACTGTATTCAGGACTCCAAGTTGAGTCTGGTAAAGTACATTCCCCAGTGAGGGGGAACACACAGTGTAATAGGGATCAGATCGCTGCCAAAGGCAAGCAGCAAAAGTGCCAGGAAAAGGGGAGATGCAGCCACTATGAGGACCAGGATTAGTGTGAAGCACACAACAGATGGATTTCTAAGGGGTCAAGCAGAATCTAGAAGCACTCTGCAGATTATGTGTTTGCTGAGGGGCCTGAAGGTGCCTGTTTCAAAAGAGAAATTGGCGCAGAGAAAGAAAATGTCAGCAGCCCAACTTCTGCCCCAGAGTAGGTAACCTCTAGAAACTAAATAAGAAGGAGGCAATTTCCACATCTGCCAGGCCACAGGAAGAGGTAAAACAAAAAAAGGGCAAGAATCTTTTGATAAGACTAATTCCTTTTGGCTGTTCAGAAACAGCAGATACCTCACTTGGGATGGCGAATGACTTTCTTTTAATCAAGCAGAATGTATTCATAGCATTTCTTCTGAGTGTTCTGGTGCTTTTAAACTGGCTTTTCTCGCCCAGTAGTAAATGATTAAGTAGGAAGGAAGTTAAAGAGAAGGTAGAAAGAGATATAGAGGGTGATAGGAAACTGGGAACAACACCAGGCCAGCCGACTAGTAGGTTTTCGTGGATTTCCTCTGGTGAATATTCAACTAGCAATTGTAATTTTAAACTTTGAAAAATTCCTTAAACACTTGTCAATCTTCCCTCCTGTGACGGAAGCACCACCTCCAGAAGACCAAGCATGTGTGTGGAGAAGGGGTACTATAAAGTATGTACTGAGACTGACTTCATCTTTTCTTATATTATAGCCACTTCTGTGAAGAAAAATACTTGTGTGTATAGCATTGCCCAGGAGTTATAGAATATATGTGATATGACTTTAGGTTAGCTTATAACAGTAATCCCTAAATCCCCCTCATCAGTCTAATCATATGGGGGAAGAGGTAGAAATGCAGATTTTCAGGCCCTGTCCAGACCTACAGAATTAGAGAAGAAAAAAGCAAGGAGCGGGCAAAGCTGGGCATAAGAAAAATATACAGCAAAATGGACTTATATGTGGAAGAAGCAGGTGAAAAGGCTTGATATTTCCCCTGGAGTGAAGTGTCCCGCTGAGCTTCTCAGAGTTTCTTCCTAAGTGAGGGTTAACGTCCACTCCCTCCCCCTTGATTGCTGTAAACAGTAGACAGGGCTACCCATGCCTCAGGGTCTCCCAGCGCTGCAGGAAGCTCAGGCCCAGTGAGCAAGACCCCCCATTCCACCCCGAACTTTGAAACCTTCTCACTCTCGGCTATCCCAACCCTGTTAAGTCAGAGGGAAATCAATTCCCTTTCCCGAAGGACACGAGTTGCCTCCATAACTTCCAGGGGGTGCAGGTGAGAACACACGCGTCCCTTCTCTAACCCAAAAAGAGTAGAGACGAGATAAATACAGCCAAACTGGGACTAGCGGGACGTCCCGGGGAAAGAGGGAATCTTTTCTGCTCGTCCGCCCCCAGGAGGCCAGACTTGGGACCTGTCACTTAGAAAATTCCTTCTATCTGCGTCTCCCTTAGCAAGACGCGGCCCCAGAAGGGCCGCCAGCCCTGGGAAATGCCCCCTTTCGGCGGCTAGTAAGAGACCGCTTAGAGTGAGAGAGGAGAAAAGACGCCTCCTTCGGTGTTGGAAAGAAGGGAAAGTGCGGCGATGAAGGCCAAAGGCTCAAAGTGCCTCCGCCAACGGCCGCTCTGAAAGTGTCCACTGGCGGTCTGGAGTTGCGGCCGCAGCGAGCAGGTGCCAAAGCGCTGCCCACAGGAGGAGTGGGTGGCGGCGCGGGTCGCTAGGAATGTGAGAGCCAGAGCGGGACGCAGCCTGGAGGGGAGAGGTGCTCCTGAGCTGAGCCCAGATGCCGGCGGGAAAGGCCCCGCCACCCGCGCGCGAAACCCTGACGCTGCCCCTCTAAGACCTTTACCTGCTGCCCTCGGAGTACGTATAAGAGCAGCAGGCCACGTTTCCACCGGAAATCCGCCTGTCCCACCTCCTTGCTCTCAGCGGTCTCTGGCAAGCGGCAAGGGGAAGGGGCATTCCCTCGGACCCAGATTCCTCTTTCAGATCCCCAAAGTTGTTGCAGCGGTGGCCCGGTGTGCTTGCCGACTCTAACTTTTCCAGTACCTGGGAACGCGCGTCTCCTCATAGTACAGACAGGGAAACTGAGGCCCAGAACGGGACAAAG